TCCCGTTTCCATGAGGAAATTCAGCCTATGCTTGATGGGCTGCTGAACAACAGAAATGAGTGGAAGACCCGTGCTGATGAGTATGATGCAAAAATGAAAGCTCTGGAGGAAGAGAAGAAAAAAGAGGAAGAGAAGATGGCTGCAAATAAAGGTCAGAAACAATACTTAGTTTTTCATTCCAAACTTAAAAACATACTTATGCAATACTTTCCCAGATCTGCAGCAAACTCTGCCAACAAGGTAAAGAGTCAGATGCCCAGAACAAGTTTTCCCAGTCTTTCTCCCTTGGCAAGGTTATCTTCAAATGTGATGCTATGACAGGCTGTCAAAAAGGCCACCTGCCCAAATGCCCAGGAGATAGTGCCTGAGAAACCAGTGCAACCACGCAGCTGGGAGACATCCTATTGTATACAGAGTCTGTGGCTGATGTGCTATCCCACAGGTCACGAAGCAGGAGTTAAGAAAACCTAACACTTGTTGGGAGAACACTGAGGAATTAAATTTCATTCAATTTCTAGCCCAGATCAGGTACTTCCTAGAAACAAGCAGTAATAGTGTAGCAATTCATTTTGGTTGAATCCTTTTTTTTCCTTCTGTGGGCTCAGCCTCTGTAGCACTGAAATCCATCAGCTGCAATGGGCACTGGGTGAAAGCTTGTTTGGTAGCATGAGGGTTTGTTTGATTCCCAGAGAGGTGGGAGCGGAAGGCTCTTCTAGCCTCTCCCAAGTGCTTGATCAAACATCCATCACAACTTAGTGCCTTCACAGAGACAGCACCTGAAATCTGCTTTTGTTCCAGACTGGACCAAAATCCCAAACAGCCCATGGAGTGGGCATTCCTCACATGACACAGTTTAGGAATCATTAGAGCAGTCTGGATATCTGTTCTCAGTTTAAGTAATAGTAATTAACATAAAAGATTAAAAGTAAGTGCTTTATCTAGGATTTGGAGAATTTTTGAAGAATTGTTTCCTAGGTAATCAGTATTTAAGTGAGGAAGGTTTCTACTAACTCTAAAACATTCTTTCCAAAGCAGCCTTACATGTATGACTAATTTGCACAGCAGACAGCTCTTGATATGGGTACTATAGGTATGACCTACATTGATCACTGAATAACTTAGAAGTGCTAAAATACTCCTGTAATGGCTGAGAAGTACATTTATGACTGTACCTCTAATTCTGTGTTTTTTTTATACCACAGATGGAATAACCTGCAATGGAGGAACAGCTCCAGCTTCCAAAACCTGTAGCATACTTTAGACCTATTACCAGTGCAATATATGCCACCCAAAATGAGAATGTCCAGGCTTTAAATATATATATATATATATATATATATATATATATATATATATATATATATATATATAAAATGGCATACAGATACATTTCTGATTGGACTGTTCTGCTACTTTAATTAGGCTTATGACCAACCAGGGAAGGGCTAGATCTCGTTTGCCTTAATTGCATCTCTTCCTGATGGTAAGGAGCCAATTCTGGCCTGTCTTTTGCTCCATTTAATGCACCTGATGTCAGATGGCATATGGCAAGTCAGAATAACATTTGGCCCAATAAATCAGGTTGCATGACTATGGAAGAGCATTTCTCCTGTACAGTAACACTTCTTACCCAAAGCAGATGGGGCCAGTTGAATTCATATTTTGCTCTATACAACACTGTGTGATTGTCAATGCATGGAACTATAGCTTGCAGAGTAGAAAAACTGAAAAGGAGCCAAATTTATCATATCTAAGCCTGTATCTGTTAGGATATAATAAAGAAATCTGTAGGTAGATATAAAGCATGAAAAATGACCCTAGTAAACCTCTGAACTGCTCTAAAAAGTTGTAATTCCATGTAAATCAAGGAAACACAGTGATAGCAGTTCTGCACCTACTTCAATAATTTGTATAGGTTGCTGCTTTAAAGCATGGAGCCATTCATACAAGACCCAATAGCTGCAGTCTTCACAAGCGGGATGCACACTCTGCGCTAACCAAGGCTATGCTCTGGCACATATGATTGTAAGAAGACAGTGTTACTATTACCTATTACAGTTAACCAAGCAACCTGAATCATGGCATCTCCTAAATTTGTTCTGTTTTGCCTCATAATGCCAACGTTATTTGACACAGTTCTCTTCTGAGCAGTATCAACTCTCCTTCCTTTCCTCCTCCTGTTCTGAGGTATCCTGGTTTTAGATTTCCCTCCAGACTTTAAAAACTGATGACTTGTATTCTTTTATTTCAGATGAAAGCTAGGTTTCATATTTATCCATGCAACCATATTAGAACATTTAATTACGTTCTTGTAGCAATACAGAAATCCTTCTCTGCTCCTCTTTTTTTTTTTTTTTTTAAGTGTTTGGAGATCTGTTCTGCTGGGGATTTTCTTCTTCTTCAATTACTCCTGCTACCTTCAGTGCTTTCATCCTTCAGTACCTTGTTTTGCATTACAAAAATACTGCAAATAAAAGGAAGACTAGAGCTATGGGTGTACCTGGTGATGATTTATCTGTGTCTCTGTACAGTAAGCAAGTGTAATAGAATCATAGAACAGTTTGGGTTGGCAGGGACCTTCAAAGGTCTTCTGGTCCAAACCCCCACAATAAGCAGGGACATCTTCAACTAGATCAGGTTGCCCAGAACTACATCCAGCCTGGCCTTCAATGTCTCCAGGGATGGGACATCCACCACCTCTCCGGGAAACCTGTGACAGTATTTTACCACCCTCATTGTAAAAAAATTTTTCCTCCTGACCAGCCTGAATCTCCCCTCTTTTAGTTTAAAACCATTAATCCTCTACTGCTACGCAGCAATTCCATGAGCAGCAAGTTGCCTCTCAGGAAAATGCAGAAACCTGTCCACTTGCATGAAAGCTAAATAAGCCACTAGTAGTGACTTCATGTTGTATGCTTCAGTTTCATTGAGAACCACGTAGGAGACTTGCGTACTAAGTCAAACAAGTCTTTTTTTTTTTTTTTTTTCTTCAGTGGGAAAAACGCCACAAGATTATCATGTTGCAGAGTGGTGAGCAGTGGGCTTTCAAAAAAATGGCCACAAGCCACTGTACACTTAAGCGTTGAGAAAAGCTCCTTATGTCCTCAAAGATTTACAGGAAATAAAGCTGTGAGGCTGGGGTCTGTCCTGGGGTAAGATGGACAAGCACTGCCTCTGCACAGCATTGCACTAATAGATGTGTTTTGGTTAGGAATTCTCCCATTTCCACAAGGAAATTCAGCCTATGCTTGGTGGGCTGCTGTCACTCTGTGGGAAGCCACATACAGCAATCAGAGGGCAGTAAGGGAAATAGAAAGCCAAGATCTTTCATTTCCCTTTTATTTTTTCCTTTGCACTATATACATTTCTAATGGGATGCTGTCTGTAGGCAAAATCTTTCCCCTGCAGCTTAATCTCAGGGGCTGCAGAGTTCTTCCCTGTCTGCACAGAACTTGCACCCCTGCTGGACAGTCATTGCTAACTTCTTTGACAGGAGTAACCTGTGAGCAGAGGCAGAAGTGACCCCTGCAGGTCCATAGGCAAGCAGCATGTCTGCACTCTTGGAGCTGAGAGGAGTTGCAGGGTAGGGTGAAAGGGCTGATGAGAGAGTTTACAGCTGCAGTTCGAGATTACCCAACAGCAAAGTGTCAATCATCCATGGTACCATAGGACCCCTCACCTCCCAGACCGGCTCACCCAGGGAAAGCACTAAAGGAACAATGCAGAGCTCAGAAGAGGCAGCTGGTGGGAGGAAACCCTTCCCTCCCCCCTACCTAGGGAGATGCTGTGATGAGATGCTTCATCTGCTGTTCCTGCTACCTTCTCATCTGGCACAGGCCATGTCCAGCCACAGTACACACAGCCCTGAGCTCCAGGCAGCCTGTCCTTCCCTTTTGCCCTTCACTGTGGCTCTCACTCCCACTGCCTAACACACACTGAGTGTCTGAGGAGAACACTGACTTTTATTTCAGTATACATCAAGCAATTGAACTTGCTTTTTTTTTTCCTTTTCAAAATGGTACCACCTAATCACACAGCCACTTTGCCAGAAGACTGGGATCAGTGTCCTTTTCAGCCAACAATCCCTTACTAATATGTGTTTCTGTGTCTTTTTGCACCATCAGAACCATACCACTGGAAGTTTGCTTCCCACTGGAGGTAGGTCAGATGGAGGTGAAACCTGGCAAGTTTCCTACCCACAGCGCTCCCCTTGGCAGCTGGCTGCCAGGAATTATTGGGCAAAGAAAAGAGAAAGGTTAAGAAATGTATTTTTGCAGTCAGTATTTTCCCAGGCCCGAGAGGAAAGTGATGCCACTGCAACACAATTTCAGGAAAGGTCCATTGACCAGACAGCTCCCAGAGGAGTGTGATAGAGCGATTCAGCTCCGCTTGTGGCATATTTGCCTGTACCCCAGGGCAGTGTTTTCACTTCTGGCTTGATGCGGTTCCCAACTCCAGTGAGAGACACGAGGGGCCTGCCTTGCAAGTGTCTCACTGAAGGAGGTAAGGCATCCAGACTTCCATTCTGGATTTTGAAGGCTGGGGACAACGAGTGGTAGGGAAATGAATATCCCTGTGAGACTGGGAGGGGTTTCTCAGACAGGAATTCAGGAATGGAGAGCAGATTTTCTCTCCACTGCCTGAGTGAGAAGCTGCCAAGAGATTTTTAGTGCTACAGCTTGCCCATCATGGGATGGAAGGGGTAGGACAAGCTCACTCAAGACAAGACCTCTTTGCTCTGCTACTGAAAAGAACATGTGGATGCCCTCCAGCTGTTCAGTCTGCTGAAGTTCAGCTTGCTCTCCCACCTGCCCAAATGTGTTAAACTCCGTCTCTTCTGATCACAAACATTACCTATTAGTTATAGGCGTAGTGACTGGTTGTTGCTGGAGGAATACAACATGGTGTTTCCACCACAGCAACAGCCTGTGACATAAGTTTCCTGTCATATTCTGTAATTATTTCTGCTGCTGTTCTGTGCAACTCACTCAAATACCAACTGAAGCATTTTAAGTACTTTATTGAGAGAATAGCATACAGAGTCCACCAACCACTGCACAGTTCAGAGCCTAGCCATATATTTCCATATGTGAAATTAGGATTCAATCTTCTGTTCATTTCAATATGGATTCTTCGCTTGCTAGAAGGGAAGAAAAACCAAACACAGTTAGGGCTACTAGTCAGTCCCATGCAGTACTAAAATATGCAAAACATTACTGAGACCAAAAGCTACCTTTAAGTGTGACATTTCTTTCTAGCCAGTTTTTATGATTCCCGCTTCTGCTTATTCAACAGAAGTGTATTTGGGGTAAAAGACCTTTTTTACTTACCCAGTAGTAAATTACTGTTTTCTGAACTGATAATTCAAATTAAGTGCAGAAAAAGCTATCATTATGGGTATGACCAGTTATTCATCTTTAAAGAACAATTTCCAACTGCATTGCACTGAATAAAGTTATAACAATTGCTTTTATAACAGGAAAACCACACAAAAACCACTGTTGGGAAAGCAGACTGGTCATCTGTGTGCCGCTTTTAAATAAACATTCTAAAGAAATAATCACAGAATTCCATTATTAAGGGAAGTAGCAACACTGTAGTACAGCCTCTATCCCCGAAAGTATACAAAAGTTTCAGCTAATCTAGAAAATACCTATAGGCCCATTTATTCAGTCCATGAATAATGGAGACTATATATTCAAGATGGTAAAAAGAGCTATGCAAAATAGCTTCTACTAAGTGATAAAATTCATCAATTTGCCTATTTGATTATATGTATGTGTGGCTCATTTAGTTTTACAGGGTTTTGTTCAACATTAGTCTTGTTTAGGACAATGTGAATGCCACTAATTCCCATGGAAACAGTTACTAAGTGTGTAGCTTGAGTTACTGATCAATTTCTTAAAACTTCTGGACTGTATGTCCACCTAAAGAAAAAAAAAGGTGAATTCAAGCCAGACAGCACACTCCTCTGTATGGCATGGGGAAAAATCCTGTCAGAAATGCACAAATAAATAAACAATTCTAACAACAAGGGAAAGCATGCTGCAGCAGGAATATTATAGGGCAGAACGGAATGAGAAAGAAGCAGCAGTATTAGTCCCAATAAATCACCTCCAGCATACTCTTTTCATGTAAGATATAATAAAGCTGACCTCTAACACTACACCAGTGATACCACTTTAAAGTTTGAGTTGCAATTTCAAGCAGTTGCCTATAACTTCTGGTTTAGGTAATCAGTCACACTTGTGAGACTTCTTCATTGCATGGAGCAGAGGGACCACAGGTTTGCTGCATCCAGCTGAATAACGGACATCTAAGTAACGTTAATATGCAGTTTCATGGATTCCTCACAAAATAACCAGCACACCTTTTAGAGGTTTGTTTTCTCAGTGGAAATTCAGATTGCCATTTAATACGCCCCATTTAGTTACAAAAGTGTTTTCAACTCTTCCTCTACCAAAGCTTACATTCAGTAGAGCCTGTCAAACAGCAGCACTATTTACCCTTCACACAGCCCTAACCACTGCTCCATGGAATCACAAGGGTGTGCAGTCCCCTGGCTGTAAGCCTGAATTTCTCCTAAAAACGCTGCATTAAGATGTCGGTCCACTTGCAAGCCAGGGTATACGGTTTGGTCTGGAATGTGTGAATTAAACTGAGGGACTACCTTCTGCAAGCTCTTTCGCGATCCGCTCAAGTTCTTCACGTCTCTTTTTCTCTTCAGCCTCTATTCTTCTTTCTTCTTCAGCAATAGGCTTTAGGTAGTCTGTTATTAATACAAGCGCTTTACAACACAGTTTCTAGGAGCCGGCACAAAGCTCTGCATCTGCTAGCTCACTCAAAAAGAACATAAAACCACCTTCGCTGGCACGACGGCACATTTTACATGGATCTGTCACCTCACACCGGTCAGAGCCCAGCCCCAAGGGCCACCTCGCCGAGCCCTACCCGGTTCCCCTGCAGTGAGGCGGGGAAATGGCGCCGTGCCCGCCTCAAGGTGCCCTTCGGGTCCCGAGCGCGGAAGGGGAGAAGGCCGCCCGCGGCGCGCACTCACCGTATCGCTTCTTGCCGTAGATCATCCCCACCAGCAGGGCCGAGTACCGGGTGAACTGCGGGAGGCACAGACAAGGACGCGCCCTTGGCTCAGCTCGCACCACTAGGCCCAGCTCGCCGCCCCCCGCCCGGCCCGCCTCACCCCGGCCCGCTGAGGCCAGAGGTCACCTCCCAGCCCCGGAGCGCGGCGGGAGGCCCGCATGGCACCGCGGGAACCGCCTCTGCCCTCACCTTGATGAGCGGAGAGACCTGCACCGGTGGGATCATCCTGGCAGCGGTGGCAGCGGCGGCGGGATGTGACGCCTGCGGAGCGGTGGCAGGGCGGGTAGCGTGTAGAGCTCGGCCCAACTCGGGGCGGAGCAGAGCTTCTGCTACGGAAGCTGTTAGAGCCGTTCGTGTTCTGTCCGCCCAGGGGTGGGTTTTGGTGTCTGGGGGCGCGTTACCCAGGAGCCGTTCGGTCGCAAAATGGGCCGTGCCCCTTACCCCGCGACACAAAATGGTGGAAGCGAGAGCGTTTTCTCTCTTTGGAGCCGAGCCCGAGGAATCCGGTTGAGTTTCGTTCTCTCGTAAAGTCGGGGAATTGAACCTTCGGTCGTTAGTGACATAAATAGCTTGCGTAAAGTACGCACCGAATGGGCCGGAAGGCGGTGAACTGCCGGCCCGTGGTGGTCTCTGTTAATTAAGACAGGGATAATGGAAGTTCTTCTGCTAAAAGAAGCCTGACATGTTTCTCTCTTTAGGGAGCCTGGAGGAAGGTTCTCGGTATGCCGTCTATTTGTAGTATCATGAGGTTTTTTAGTTACTGTTTTATGTCCTGTACCAGTGAGACCTGAGAGTGGGTGGAATGTATGTAACCTATTGCTTCTGGGCTTTTGTATTGAATTTTTTACGTTTTTTGTTTACTTTCAGTGGCAAGAACTCAGACACTTTGAGCATTACAAATGAGAAGTCAGTGCTAGGTAGTTATCACTTTAGTTCCGTGCACCAGTGTTAGCTGTTAATGGCAGAGTAGTTCACCATGAAGCTCAACGCCAAGTCAGTACCAAACCACTGAGGTTACTAGCGGCACAGTGGTTGCCTGTTCAGCCAGCTGACAGTTTCAAAATCTGTAAATACCCAACAGTGGAATGATTTTAATTAAGTGATTTTCAGGGTTACTGATGGAGCCTGATACATTGAAAATACCAAAATGCTCCATTTTTTTTTAATGATTTTGAGCAATTTATTGAATGACATCCCTATGCTGGATGCTTTCTGCACTAAAGCTCTGAGAAAAAAAAAAAATCACTGCTGCTCTTCATTTCGTACAATACAGATATTCTGGTCTTCCCTAGTGATGCAGCAGGCAAGTTGGACTACAAGTCATGATACTACCCCATCACATGTGGAGAAGAAAAGGAGGAGTACATGGTGCCATGTAGTTACCTGTGATAAGATCTCAAATGATAAACATTAAGAGAGATCTGTGCATTTTCTTCTCATAGCAAGAGCATTTGTCTGTGCCTCATTCCACAGTAACAAGTTATGTGACGCTGTCCCACATAACCTCACAGGTTACCAGGCTGATGTTTGCAAAGTTCCAACAATGAATTTGTGCTTTACACACTACTGTCAAGTACTCTCACACTGAAAGATCAAACCAAGGAAGTCCAAAATTCCTCGTGACTGACCTTTATTTTACTGAAAAATCCGATTGCAGGAGCTGCTCATGGTTTATCAGATGCCGAACAACAGCTGTTGAAAAGTTGGAAGTTTGAGTCATTAGAAGAAATTCCTGGTTAGTTGTAAGAGAATTACTTGCACTAACTAGTTGTTTTCAAGTAAAATGGAAAAAGTCGTAAAGTGTATGCAATGTTCATTGCGATTAAACACAAATTCTGTATTTGCAAAGAACTACAGCTATGACTGTTACTCTTCTAAAGTAAATTAAGAGCTGTCTACATTCATCATTATTCTGAAGGTTTCAAACAAAGTACATCCCTAAGCAGTCTTTAATAGAATTTTTCATCTAGCACTATCTGTATGCAAGGCAAAGATGACAGTGCTACAAGTGATTGTTATCATCTTTTAATGTCTTTTTAATGGATTAATCTTGAACTTGAAACCATTAATGAGGCTAACTGGCCTGAACAAATGAAGCAGCTGTCATTATGGGATCACCGTTGTGAGCTGAGAGACAGCAGGCTTTTAAAACACCCTCCCATGCATTACCATAGTTTGTCCAACGTGACCTATTTGGTTTATGAGGCAGTTGTTCCTGACTGGCAGTACCAGTATCACAGGCAAAAATTTCCGTGTCATCAGAAGGAAAGTTTTACTGCAACATTTTACTACAATTTTACTTGTTTTCAGGATATTTAATTAAAACTATTATTCTGGCAAAGAAGGCCAGCAGTCTCCTGGACTTAGGAACCTAAGTGCCCTTGACTGGCAGGTCAAGGGGGGTGAGTGATCAGAGTATATATAGTGTGCAGTGTACAGTTCTGCCCTCCCCAGTACAGGAGAGACATGGACATTCAAAAATGAGTCCATCAAAGGGCAGTGGAGGGGATGCAGGGACTAGAGAGTGTCTTGTGCAAGGAGAGACTGAGAGCTGGGACTATGCAGCCTACAAGAGAAGGATTGGGGGGTTCTCATAAATGTTCTGAATGCCTGATAGGGAGGAGCAAAGACTGAGGCACTCTTCTCCTTGGTGCCCAGAGATGGGATGAGATCAATGGACACAAACTGAAATGCAACAAATCCTTTTAAATGGAAGAAAAATGTACCCTTTTTTTAAACTCTGGGGGCAACTGGACATTCAAGCAGGTTGACCTGCTGAGTGGTTCTGGTGTCTCCATCTGTACAGATGCTCAAAGTCTGACTGGATAAAGTCCTAAGCAACTAACTTGAGCTGAGGCTTAAACAGGAAGGTTGGACTAGACAGTCTCCAGGGGTCCCTTCCAACCTCATCCATTCTATGATTTTGGGATTATAATCATGATGCTTTACTTTTCTAGAGATGAAAACCCGTGGTCATTAGTAATTATGTAAAGAGCAGCTAGTTACAGTTAGGTTGGGAATGTTCTTCCTACTTGAGAATCACGCAATTCAAATTAATGTCTCATTCTGAAATGCAGTTTGTTTCTCCAGAACTTCCCAAAAGTATTAGAGTAATCCTAAATCAATTCTGTTTATACAAAACCTCAGGTCTAAGTTTGCCTTCAAGTTTAGGTTCTGAGATATTAGTAAATTTGATTTGAATAATGGTATCTTGACTACAGGCAAAGAGTCCAATTAGCCAATACACAGAAATTAACTACTCTTCAAAGCATCCTTGTAATGAAACTCCATGGTCAGATTCAGTTTCAGGTCTTGTCTTCTTCAAGTACCAACAGAATTAGAAGCAGCATTTCTTTACATCACATTACAAGCTTTAGGGTGTTTCATAGAAAATCACAATGATTGAGGTTGGAAGGGACCTTGATGATTTTGAATGGAAAAAAAGTATGTCTGACATAATTTTAACTGTAGACATCAGACTTCACTTTCACCAACAGAACCAAAATAAAGGGCTAGAAGATTTGATTTTTTTTCACTGATGAAAATTTATTACAAATACACATATTCACTGTTTATTATGTGCCTGCTACACATTAGAAACAAAACCATATAGAACCAAAAGTGCTTTTATTAAATATCAGAAAAACACTGTGATACAAATGCAATGCAAAATCCTCCCAAAAGTCATTTTACCTCAGACAGGTATAAACTCCCTTGGATATCTGAACATACTCTCTCACAAGAAGTATGCAATACTACAATTACATATTGGTATCAGGGTGCTTCAAACCAAAAGCACAAGTGCTTTCAAGACTGATCTCAACTGAAGTGAGATACCAGAATTTATCTTCACTAAGAATTACTCCAGACATAGTTTGCTACAGTATTTTTAATTCTTTCTTTTTTAAAGGAACAACAAAATCCCTCAAGTGCCTTTAAATATGGCATTAAAATTGTCAGGCACTAAGACAGTTCAAGATACAAACTACAGGCTCTGCCAAAAAGAAATGTAAATGCTTCCAGGGCAGCCGGAGGCTAGATGACTTTGCCCATTCTTTCTGAACAGCTCTCTGCAGTGTAACTTTTGGTAGGCATAAAGCTTATTAAACTGAACATAAGTGTAGAAAAACTTCAACATGCCATGGACTGGAACCTTTACAGGGATAGGTTTTTTTGCTATCTTGCTCAGCAAGACTCAGAAATCTGTGTGATCCCTTGGTTAGCTTCTACTTAGGGAAAAACTCCTTACCTGATGGGGAACTCTTGTTTGTGGCAGGAAAGTCACACACTCTCTCTGAATATGACATAATGCCATCAGAATGGATGGAAAGATGTTCTCTCAATATGAAAACAGACACGAAGAGCCTGAGAAATCCAAATCTTTCATTTCAGATGAGCAACTGCTTCAGAACTGAAAATAATTTTACCTCTAGTCTTTGAATCACCTCTCTGGGAGATACTAAAGCTGGTTCAAACCTTGGATACATAACCACATGCATCCTCACGTGTTAAATGCACCTTTTTTTTTTTTTTTTTTTTCTTTTAGAAGAGCAGATATGCCTGAAGAACTTGTGTGCAGCTAGCCTTGAAGGCTGCACATGGTCACAATTGCGACTCCCATCTAAACCCATACTCTGCACAACTCAAACACAAGTAACTTTCAAAATGCCATCACAAGTTCTTGACTATAAAGAAGAGACATTGTAACCTTAAAAAAAAAGGGTGATGAAAGGGGACGGAGTAGCGATCTGTGTAACATGATGCACTATCTAGAAATGCAGAGGTCTCCATGCCTTTCAAGCCTTGCTCCCCATCTTACAGTAGCACAGCCAGCTTCTGTACCTGTGTTTGGCTGCCATAATTGCTGCCCTATGTCAGAAAAAAAAGGACATTTTGCAGGGCATGTGTTTGTGCACTTCTTAATTGATCGTCAGTGCAGTTACATGTCAAGCAGCATTTTTTTCATAAGGGTAACTCTAAAGGAAGGGGAACATGCTTTTCTTTGTATCCCCTATTTACCCAATTATTTCAGTTACAGGTTTTGGAGACAGGGTCTCAAGCATGACCAGCTAAAACTTAAAATATGCCCCAGTTATGGCCAATGAAGGCTTTAGTTTAGGTCAGTATAATCCAAACATGAAGATTACGTGAGTCAGAAGAACTGAAGTTAATATTCTAACTTCACATGCACTGCACAGAAATTCAGGACAGTGGTTCAGTAGGAGACAGACATGCCTCCTCTTCTTCTAATAATACAACCTTCCGTCTGGAGAGAGACATCACAGACCTTAGGACAGTTAAAGCAATTCTAACAAAAATGCGCAAGGCAAGAAAAGCAAATGGGATTACAATCTGCATAAGATGGAAAATTGCTGTGC